ATTCTCAAGGACTCTGCACTGTCCTTACTTTAGACAAAACAAAAAAACAACCTAACCCTCCTTCCCTCCTCTGTGCAGTGGGGAGTGAAAGTGCTCTCTCTTCTCACAATGCTCTTCCTATACTACTGTTGACAATGACGATCTCCTTGCTCAACCTTCTCATCGCAGAGACAAGAGAGACAGTGGGTCTGGGTTATTGACAGGTAGAAACAGAGCTACATCTGCCTCACTTTGCTAAGCTCTGGGTTGAAAGATTTGGACTGGAGTTGTCAGGTAAAATACAGCACCCTCAATTAAATGTAAACTTCTGATAGAGACCAAAAATGTTTTTAGCATAATGATGACTTAAATACTACATGGGACATCCTTACTTTATGATGAATTTCTTAATATAGGAATGTCCTATGTAATATTTAGGACATCTTTATACTAAAAATAATTTATTGCTTATCTGAAATTTAAATTTTAGTGAATATCCTGCAGTTTTGTTTGGTGATTCTGGCAAACCCAGTGGAGTCCTGCTACAGTTTGAATGTATGCATCCTCCCAATATTTCTAGAATGGAACCTAATGGCCAATGTGATGGTAGTAAGAGGTGGGGGTCTCTGGGGAAGTGATTAAGTCATGAGGACTGTGCCCTAATTAATAGGATTGGTGCTCTTACCAGTTGGAGTACTCAGTCCCTTTTGTCCTTCTATCCCTTCTGCCATGTGAGGACGCAGTATCGCCCCCTCTGGAGGTTGTTGCTATCAGGCACTACCTTGAAAGCAGATATAGAGAGCCCTTACTAGATGCTGACTGCCAGCACCTCGACCTTGAACTTCCTAGCATCTAGACCCATGAAAAATAAATTTATATTCTTTATAAATTACCCAGTCTAAGGTGTTTTATTATAGCAGCACACATGGAAGAAAACAGGTCACATGTGCTATTCCCTATAGTAATTATTTTCAGATTGTAAGATACTTTTGTTTTCAGCTTTGGTGTATGGGCAGTGTTCTAGAACAAAGACAACAGGAACATCAGTACCCTCATACACATGATTTTATTTCCAATTTTCCCTGTTCATGTTCCAAGGCCACACTCCACTCTCTTACCTGGGCTCACTTGCCTGGCATCCCAAGACAGATTTTCTGATCATTTTTCCACTGAAATCCAGGGAAGGCCACAGGCCCATGGTATCCTTCAGGAACTGTGCACCTGCTCTGCCTGCAGGTTGGTTACACCTGGACCATAAGGCCCTCAAGCACTTCCAGGCGATGTTGATGTGTTGGGCTTGCTGCTTTTGACCAATGACCAGTAGGTAGATGAGGGGCACAAAATCCCAGTCTCCTTCCTCTAATAGGGACTCCTCGAAGCTGAGCTCATCTTCATGTCCAGCAGTCTTCAGCATCTCAAAGTTCACATTTATAATTATTAGCCCACTTAATTTGTCTAATTCTAATCAACAATACAGAAACCTTGTTATCTGAAAGCTGCCTGACAGTAGGCTCCAAAGGAAGTTCAAAGTGGGAATTTGGCCACCTCTGCCATACAGATAACCCAGGGTAGGCTGGGTTATCTGACAGCAGCCAATGTGCTGGCTGACATGGGCCCAGACCACAGTGTTTGGTCTGAATACCTCGAATTCAGATCTGCTTGGACTGAGTACCCAACCCTCTGCAGCAGGCCCTCCTGGGGGACTCTGTCAGAGCTCCACCTAGATCCTTTTGGGTCCCTCTTACTGCTCCCTGTGTCCCTCTCCCAGCTGCTGTGGGATTTGACTTTGAGCAGGCTACACCTATAGCTATGATCAACAAGTACTCCTCAGCTACAGGAGCTGTTGTGTCCACACAGAGAAAAAGCGAAATGCCAGTTCCTACTCTCTTCTGTGGGGCTTTTGACCAATGACCAGTGAGGGGCACAAATGCTCAGTCTCTTTCCTCTACTAGGAACTACTCTGAGGTGTCATTTACTGGAGCTCATCTTCACACCCAGACCAGCTGTCTTCTCTCAGGCTTTCCCTGTTACACCTGCCTTATGTGACTTCTTCCCCTTCCCTGTCCTCCTATCCCACTCCCAGCATACTCCTTAATACATTTTCACATGAGTTCTCTTATATCAGGGTGTGCATCTGTGAGGCCAAACATAAGATATTCCCTTTTGACTAAGAGACACAATAAAACAAAGGGGACAAAAAACACTGGAGAAAGTCATTGCCCCTTTAATATTCACACATTTCTTCTACAACTGCCCATTCATGTGCTCAAGCTCCCTGCTACTGGAATTAAATTAATCAAGTAAGAATGAGAACCCTGAAATAATTAAAAATCTTTCGCTTTGTGGAATGTTTATATGGATAGTTTTTTGGAATGGAAAAAGCATTTTAATATACTTACAGCTAATTAGCTCTAAGAGGAAACTCAAGCATTTCGATGTCATGATTTTGGCAAAAAGAACTGAAACACATGAAATAAAAATCAAAATTGTAATTTTCAAGAGTGACTACTCTTAACTAAGATAATTGTGTATGTTGGGGGGAGGAGAAGTACTTTCTAATTAGTAGAAAACTTCTAAGAATCCCATACCACACAAAACATTTTTATGAAAATTGCAATTGAAATCAAGAGCATATGCAGTTGTTTTGTTCTTGCTTTTGTTTTGTAATTTAACAGAATTATAGTTAAGCAAATAAGAGAGTCACATTCTATAAGGAGTCTCTATGTATCCCCACAAATAGCCTGAATTTACTTCAAGGGCATAGTGGGAGGGGGCATATTGGTCAGTTTCCTGTCAGTGGAACAAAATACCCAACACTCACAACTTAAAGGACTCTATTTTGTCTCACAGTTTCAGTAGGTTCAGTCCATGATTAGCCAGCTCCAAGGCAGAAAGAAATCACTTGGTGGAAAGATGCAGCAGAGGGAAGTTACTCATGTCATGGCAGCCAGGAAGCAGAGAGAGAGAGAGAAGCCGGAAACAAAAATATACCCAAGTTATGATCCCAGTGACCAGCCCCTTCTGACCAGGGCCCAAGTCTGAATGTGAGACTCTTAGAAGAAATTTTAGATCTGAACCACAACAAGGAGGAAGATAGGCAGCCCCCTCTCACTGCCTCTAGTGAGAAATCCATCCACTCTGATTGCCTCTTTTATAAGCTGGTTGTCTTTAGGCTGGGTTCTGCAGACCATAACATGAGGCAGGAATTCTTAGACATGTGATTTAGTGAGGAGTGCCCTCAGGTGAAACTTGCAGGGGAATGAGGGGTCAGGCAGATGAAAAGGCAGGTAAAGGTGAAACATAGCCTCACCTGATCTCACAATGAGCTCTAGAGTTGCCCGACTCAGAAACAAGAGCACTGGGCTCTTGTATCTTCACTAAGTCATTCACTGGCCATGGGAAGCCTCTTAGGGGTGGGTGGGCTGGGATGTGTGGCCACCCCACATCTCTGGTATGACAGCATCAGCCAAGGAGAGAGCCTCTCTATAGAAGCAGCAGCTGTTAACAACCAACACCAACAGCTCCTGTGGGTGGGCATACCAGTGCATAAAAGGAGTGGGGTACCCAAGCATCTCCTATAACATGGTACCCCAAAACATTGGTGCCCTGAAATCATACCACTGCAAGTGACTTGCTGTGCTTGTTTAGGTATGCCTCTAATGTTCCAGTAATTTTCTACCGAAAGAAACCTAATCCACAAATCATCCCAATATACAATTACCCAATGCCTACCTGAAGGAAAATGATTTTTTTCTCTCTCTCTTGCAATGTAGCATCCTGGCCATTATTAAAGATGTGTATCTCATTCTCTCCAGCTCAAACCTTCCCCTGGATCCCTCACCCAGACCTCCATGATGTCTTCAGGGTTTTGTTCTCAGTGCACAGGATCTTGCTCTCAAGAACCCAAAGCAGGGATTATTGGAATCTGTTGTTCCCCAGCTCAGCTAGGGACTAAGCCCCTGAGAGCAAAGACAATCAGGCTGGTCAGGGATTTGTCATTTTGATACTGAGGATAATATAGGACCTCCAAATGATATAGGGGAAATATTGCAACTTCCAACTTGTTAGATGTCAGATATGCTGAGCTCGTGTTCCCTAAAATTGAAGAATAAATCCTAAGGAACATGGAGATTAAGAGTAGAAAATATTTCTTTAGAGAAGAAATTTTTAGCTCCTGAGAGGCAGGATGGGTCCTGAATGGGTTGCTGATGGTTCCTCCTCACAAAGGAAGGCTTATAGAGCAAAATCATGAGGTGGGTACAAAAATCACAAGGTGGGTACAGTGTGTGACATAACCAGTAAGATTCTAAGTATAGCCGCTTAGGTGATATTGATCCAATGAAGAAGTAGATCACGTAGCAAGCATATTTGGAAAGATAAAGACTTTTTCTAGGAAATTATGGATGGGAAGGTCTTGGTTACCCACTAGGGTGACTGATGTGTAGCTTGACTTCATTGGGCCAGGTGTTACCACTTATCTTATCCCTGGGTGAAGTACGTAGGCCTGGTCATTTTGGCTTTATCTTGAGGCCTGGCCTCCAACAGATATGCCTCTGCCCACAGTTGTAATGTGTTTTCATCTTTTGCACTGACTCTCTCGAGGGCTCAATCTGACTGCCTATATATTTCTGCCTACCTGAGCTGTCTATAATAAGGAGACTTAGGAGAGATATTTCTATCCTATGCGGATTTTCGTTAAGTATCAGAAAACATGGGGCTTGGTCCTGTGGGAGACTTCATTCACTGGAGGTCAAATTGAGACATTCAGTGCCATTTCTGCTGAGCCCAGGAAAGCCCTGGGTTTTTTGCCTGTCTGCCAAGCTCAGGGTGAGCACAAGGAGAGCTGTGGAGAAGCAGGGAGCTGCAGGAATGATGCCAGACTCTCCTCATCTTCATTCTCTGGATTCCAAGAAAGCCTCAGGAATGCCCACAAGATTCAAGAAAATGCCACATGTGACAGCCTAGTCAATTCAGAGGCCTGTTTAAACTAAATAATCATTCTCCGAAAGGCTGCATCTTGAATGGGCCATTTGAAGGCTTCACCAGCACTGACTTCAGAAAAAATGAAAGGGAGCCTAGTGTGTCCCCTTCATCATCATTGCCCTCCCCAGCAATAGTGCCTACCTAGCTCAAGTCTGCCCAGCAGGATTCACCTATCCATTCTCCCCACTGAGCTGCAGATCTGGCCCACGAAGAGCTCTGTTCCTAGGATCATTTTCATGGTAAGGTGTGTGAAAGGGAAGACAGTGGGTGATGATTTTTGTTTGAAACACAATGTGTTTGAGAGCCTTTTGAAGAGCAAAAATAGACCTATTTATTGACCTAAAGCCATCCATGAAATGGAATGTGATCTCTAATACAGAGAAAAAAAATAGCAATTGCCTGATATTGTACCTATCTAGAGATATTTTAAAAATTCTGGAGTCAAGAAGACATTATTTCTTTATCCACAGTCTAGATGCTGAGCTGTCTGCAGAATCCTGGACAGTGCGTTCTACTTCTGGGGTTCAGAAAAGATAAAGATGGGGATAGTGATGGGAATGGGGGTGCGGATAGTAATGAGAAATGGGATGGGGCTAGAATGGGAATGAGCATAGGGACAGGAACAGGGGTAAGGACGGGATAGGCATTGGGATAGGGATAAGGATAGAGATTGGGCTAGAGCTGGGGATGGGTGTAAGGGTACGTGTGGGGATGGCGATGGGAACAGGGAGAGAGAGAGAGAGACACCTAGCTAAGAGCTGTATCTGTATCTACATTTTTTTTTTTTTTGCTTTTATAATCCTTCTTACAGCCACTCAGAACTGGTGAGAAAGTTCATTACATCTTATTAATAATAATTGGCATTATTTTCTAAGCACTTACAGGGCTGCCACATACTGTGAAGATGTCTTTGTGTATTATCTCATTACATACTTAAAGCACCGCATAAACTAAACATGCATTACAAAGATTAGAAAACTGAGGCCCAAGACATGATTCAGCTGGCTCAAAGCCACACACCGAGCACTCAGTCTTCACATTCCAATCCTGCTCAGTCTGAGCCCAGTGCCTGTGTTCTGTTTCATTTGACTGAAGAAAAGTGTACTCAGATAGCAGCTGTCCCTCAACAGGGACTCAGCGTGGCCTTGGGAAGGGGAAGCAAGGAGAGCAAGATGCTGAATGCCCTTTGACATTTGAGAAAATTGGTTTCCCTTAAACATATCAGCCTGCCATCCATGCTGTTCACACTCAACACTGACTTATCTCTGTCCTTCATCCTCTGCAGCCAGTTACTTGCTAAATGCACTGGCTTCTCCTCCTTTGAAATGAGTCATCACCACCCTCTCTTACTATATTTCTTCCTCCACAGTGAGCTCAGCCTTCATCTCTTCCTATTAAGATCACATCAACATTTCGCCCAATGACTCCTCTGACTCAGCTCTCCCTCTTCCCTCATTCTGTCTACTTGCCCACTGCCAGACATGGCTTCCTAAAATAGTGTACCCAACTCTTCACTCCCCTGCTCAAACACCTGTGATAGCTCTCCAGTCCTCCTCAGCCTAAGCTCCATTTTCTGTAGTATAGTCTGTCCTCATCTCACACAGCCAATGCCATCCCCAGCCTTTCCTTCCTTCCACCATTGCCCCCCTTACACATATACCTACACTTGCCTTCATTGTCCTCGCCCCATACCATAACCTAAATCCTATCCAATCACTGAGGTCAGGTTTAAGTCTCATTATACCCATAAAAGCTGTACTTTAAACCAAACTACCCAGTCCTTGAGTTTTCTATAGATGAGGGTGCTGTTTTAATTTAGATTGCCAATAAAAGAAAAAATTCAGAAAATAATACAAATGCAAATACATTTTGGGGGAAGTTATAGAAAAACATAATTGGGGATGAAGGAGGGACAAAGGAGGGAAAGCAGCCAATAAACTGCACCATCAAGCCAGTGGCCTCTGTCAATGACTGGAGCTTCATCCTGGGGAAAACCTAGGGAGCCAGGATAGAACATGCATTTTTATTATCCCACGTGAAGCAGGGAGAGACAGATTATCAGTACCCCAACTATTACCAGCAGCTGGGTGGCATTAACTCTCCAGCACTTCTAGACCATTAGCAAAGCAGGCTGCAGAGAAAAAGGCCCATATGAAATAAAAGCAAATTCTGGATGCTGGCAATCAGACGGAGTCCACTGAGATGGTGAGGCACTGCCTGTATCTGTTACATCAATCATATCGTGAATTACCCAAACCAGGGCACTTTTGAGAGCAAAAGGGAGGAATATTAATAATTATTCTGAGATAGGCAAAATTCAAGACTGTCCTGGGCAAATGAGAATGTCTTGCATTTCAGCTGCGATTTTTGAATCTGTGCTGTTCCCTTTCTCCACATAGATGGGCATTTTATATTATTCCCTCTGGCTATGGACATTTTCTCATGGCAGATGAATCGAGCCTTCATAAAGTGCACTCTATCTGTGGAGACAAGAAAGCTGGAATTGACATGATATTCTCTAAGTCAGAGTGGATATGAATTTGAAAAGAGGAAAATACTTTCCAGGTAAGAAGTTCAGAAGATAAGGTCTGTCATGAGTTATTACCTGCACTGGCCAACATCAGAATCTCCAGATAATGTGTCATTGTCTCTTAATGCTTAGAAGCCTGTGAATAACAGGAAAGCTGTGGTAGCAAGATGTCTGACTTCCCAAAGGGGGATTTCTAACACCTTGGAAGTAAACAGATCTTACTTAAGCCCCTGAGATATGTTACCGGCCTATTGCCATCATCATGATTTTTTATGTGTGCACTTACTTTGTGTTCATAGAAACACAAGAAAAATAAGATGTATAGAAGAATTTATCTTCTCTATTAGCTGGTTTTCCAACAGTGTAGCAATATACTTCAGGTAATCAACTTATAAAGAGAAAATGTTTATTTTGGTTCATAGTTTTGGAAGTTCTAATTCATGATCAAGTGGCCCTATGGCTTTGGGCCTATGGCAAGGCAGCATATCATGGCAAAACATGTTGGGGAACAAACTACTCACCTCATGAGCTAGGAAGCAGACAGAAGAGGAGAAAGAGAGGTCCTAAAATCATCATGGTGGACACATACCCCAGTGACTTAAAGCCTCTGTATTAGTCACTTCCCCCATTGCTGAGTCAAAATACCTGACACCACAACTTAAAGGAGAACAGTTTTATATTGGCTCACGGTTTCAGTTTATGGTCATTTGGCTCTAGGGCAGAAACGCATGGGAGAGGGGACAGGTAGAGGAAAGATGCTCAACCATAGCCAGGAAGCAGAGAGAGGAGGGAGGAACCACAGTAAGAACGCACCCTTCCATGGTGACCTGCCTCCCCCAACCAGGCCCCATCTATTAACAGCACAGTCAGGCACTGAATTTATCAATGGATGAATCCACGGATGAGTATGGTGCCTTCAGAATCCAATCACTTTCCAATTGTATGAGACCGTGGGGGTATATTTTAGATTTAAACCATAACACCTCTCACTAGGCTTTACCTCAATGGCTTCACTATTCCCAACAGTGCCACCCTTAGGACCAAGTCTTTAATACACTGGTCTTTGAGGGACATTTAACATCCAAACTATTGCATAATGAACTCAATTATTGTTTCTCTATAATTCAAAATTGTAAATTGCCATTTTCCAATGAAGCTTTATTTTACAAGTTAGGATAACAGTTATTAAAAATGTATAATGAAACACAGCAATAATCTATGCCATCGCTCTGCATTCCAAAAACCTCATCCCCAACCTAGCAATCAGTTTCAACAATTTTAGCTATTTAGATATTTCTTCCAGAATTTATTCCCACATTTCTGAATAATATGCATGGAAGAAATGCCTAGTTCATCCATATCCATTTTTCTATTCTTCCATGGAGATGTACAACACAATATTTAGGTGAGCTCATTACTTCCAAAAAATAACTATTTTCAAGCTGTGCTTTTTAATTAAAGATAGTTGTACAACAAAATCCTGGTCAAAAGAAGATAATTAAATGCATTACATATAACTTCCAGGAAACATCTTTAAAAGATTTCCAAAAAATATCCTTAGAAGCTGGGCGTGGTAATGCATGCCTGCAATCCCAGCATTTTGTGAGGCTGGGGCAAGAGAATTGTGAACATGAGCCCAGCCTGGGCTACTTAGCAACTCAGCAAGACCCTATCTGTATATAAGAAAATTTTTTAAAGGGTTGGAAAGTAGCTAAGTGTAAAGGTTTTGAACTCAATCCTCAATTCCACACACTCCTCCAAAAATCTTTTGACTACTGTCTTAATTTCCTCATTACTGAGACACACTTGTGCTTAATGGAGAAAAGGTTTATTTTGGCTCATAGTTTGGGAAGTTTCAGTCCATGGTCAGATGGCTCCAAGGCAGAAAGAAAGGCATGATGGAAGAAGCTGGTGTGGAGGAAAGCTGATTACATCATGGCAATCAGGAAACCAAGAGAGGAAAGAAGCTACCTGGGAGAGAGACAAACTTGCTGATCACACCCCTACTGGCCCACCTCTAACCTGGCCCCACCTATTACTAACATAAAGGCAGCTATAGTACCCCTGTGATCTGATCACCTTCTAAAAGCCCAGCCTCTGAAAACATGAGGCCCTTGGGGGATATCTTAGATCTAAACCATAACATTTATGGTGGTGCACATCTTAATCTCAGCACTTTGTGAATCTGGAGCAAAAGAATTGTGAATTTGAGCACAGCCTGGGCAGCTTAGCAAGTTCTTATCTCCATATATAAAAAAATTTTTTAAAAGGGCTAGGGATATAGCTTAGTGTGAAGGTCTTGGATTCAATCCCCATTAAAACACAATCCTTTGACTACTTTCTTCATCCTTTCTTCCTTCTCATGGGGCTACAGTGTAGACGTAATGGCTGGGAGCCAAGTGGCCATGCTGGTTCATGAAGTTAATTGGAGAACAGTAACCTATCTCATTAGAATAGCAGTACAAAAGGAAATTGAGTCACTGAGGATTTTATGGACAAAGCTATCATCCCTACTCAGGACTGCCTAGTTTATGTTAGATGAGACAGAAAGAAACATTTAAAGTTTAAGTCATTTTTCAAATCTTAAGTTTGTTTAAGTGTTGTTTGTCAGTTACTTTGTATTTCTGCTTTTTATAGCTTACTGAAGCATATATCTTCTTGATTTATCAATTTTAGAAATTATGAATGTATTATAAAAATGGATAAATATTTAGCTTTCTAAGAACCTCTACTCGTGGACTTATAATTCCTTCCTCTTTGTATACTTTAGTATAATATTAGAGATGTATAATTCATATTCATGGACCAATCAAATAGTGTTTTTGAGTCCTTTCTTTCTTTTATAGTTTTTCATGTTATACGAAGCTGGTAGAATCTTTCCTTTCCACTTAGTCTTCTCTGTAGTTATTGCTAATTTCTTCACATGTCCAGTAGCACCTTGATTCACTTTTGCACCCAGGGAAACCTCCAGTGTTGCTTAGTTTCACTAGATCCTCACCTTGTTGAAGCCCCTTTCTGGGTCTGCTGCACAGCTGCCACACCAGGCCTTCTCTTCACCCCCACTTCGTGTCTTCTTCTGTTTTCCTTGTAGGTAGGATTCTGTTTCCTTAACATCAAGTGTTCTACTTATTTTTTTTGTATTTTATTTACTGTGGAGAATGGCTTTCAGCAGACTCCTAAGAGAAAGTGCCTAAAATGTAAATGACATTGGTTATCTTTTGGTGCTTCCCAGACTTCGGAATCTCCGCTGGCATGGACTTGTCAGAAGATCTGGATGATGTAATGCTGATGAAGTATCACCTGCTCTCTCAACTTCAGGACCAACTTCCATGGGGCAGTGGAATATAACTGAGACAGGGAGCTCTGCTTTTTACAACAGGCCTCCTCAGAAAGAAGGGGAAAACATTACTGAGACACCTGGCTGCACAAGCTCCAGGAACTCAAGATGTTCCTCTTGTGGATGTGTTGCCTTTCAAAAGTCTGACTTTAAGTCTGCTCACTTACTCCCCAAGGGCAAAAGATGTTATGGAGCCCTCTTTCTTCTCATTGCCTAGAATGACAGATTCTGAAGCAAGCTCCCTAGAGCTCATTAGCTGTATAATTAACCACCTAGCATTTTCAACTCAAAATCTTCCAGCAATGCACAATGAAATCAGCATATAAAACAGCCCATCAAGGACAGGCAGCCCTATTAGCCTGGGAAACAACCTGGCAGGTGTGCCTCTGAGAGGTTGGGAGCACTGAGCTTCCCTTCCCCTGGCCTCTCAACAGCCCTTCATCTCAGACTGCCGGGGAGCTGCAGCCCTGGGGAAAATCCAGCCCAGGTTTTGCGCCATTTCTCCTGCAAGCTTGGATGGGTAGCTTGGAAAATCTGTTTTGCTCCAGGTAGAAAACCAGTCATGATGAATTAATCTAATGCACTTACTTGTTTTTTAATTTAAAAGTGTATCTTGAGGTGTATTCCCTAGCTGAAAGCTCTGCAGCAGGCAAACACACAGGACTCCAAAATGCAGAGGGAGAGGCTTTTTCCTGCCCCTTGACTCTCTGACCCAGAAAATCAATCTAGTGATATTGTTGCAATGTATTCTAAGAAACATAAGCTAATCAACTGAGAAATCACTCCTTGGTGGTTCATAATCATTAAAAGGACCTTATAAGCAGTAAGTGACCCACATGCCCCATAACTAAGGTTTGCATGGAGATGGGGCAATTTTCTGTCCTTTTAGAAGCCTTGGTGTTATTCCCATTAAAAGGAGAAAGCAATAAATGGTTCTTCCCTGTGGTTTATCTCCTCCTTCTATTTTTCTTGCATGGTCTTCAAAGCAGAGGGATGCCTAGGTACTGACCTGGTGAATATATATCGTAATAATGGATCATGATTATGAAATACAGTGATACTTGGCTTCATGAACTTTATTTGTTCCACGATTTTTGAAAAAGATGGCCAAATTGTGTTTGTGCAGGAAAGATGGCTGTCGTCATGTTTGTCATGCAATGTAGAGTTTGCAAACAAAAATAAATTTGTGCCAAACACTTTTGTTTGAGAACCAAATTATTTGCAAACAAAAGTGTTTGTGAACCGAGGTACCATCACTTCTCGGCCTTTTGGCTAAGATCAAGTGTAGTATCTGTGAACCAGATACTACAGTGCACCACTGTATATGTGGAAGAGACAGGCTTAACCCAAGTCTTTGTCCTGGTAGGACTTTGTAGGTCTTCATTTTGCTAATGTACAACTCCCCAAGACTAGGCTACTGAAAGTGACATTTCCACAACTCACTTGACCTCAGAACCCTTCATTTGCAGGAAGGGAGTAGCTTTTGTTTTATATTTCACAGACTACTGGTCCAAGAAATGTAGTTTAGAAAACCAAAGGAATGCGGGGGTGCCACCCTTTAATGCCTGTAGTCCCATGGTATAGTACAAAACCGGAGTAACAGGCCTTAAAAAACCCAAGAGATCAGATTTGAAAACTGCCTTTGCCATGTGCTATATCTTGTACCTTAATTGTTTATCATCTATGACATCCATTTCCTCAACTAAAAAGTGGGGATAGTAACATTTACATTTTTAAAGAGATATTTAGATAAGATTTATAAAATATTCTATACAAACCCCTCCACTGACTGGTTCACCCTACGTGGGCACCAATAACAGGTAATCATCTTTTTATTTCTTTTAAACCTCTCTTTTCCTGCCCATCTCCACTTTTCTTTGCCAAGGACTCAATATTTCCAACTTGTTTGCTGATGGCTGAAATGCCTTTTCACAGGAGTGAAATGGATACAAGTGTGAAGATGAACTAAGAAGAGTGAATTACACTTTTTAAACCTTGGGGGCAGCAGATTTATTTGGCAAGTTTTTTTTTAATGAATACATTTTTCAAAATGTCCATGCCTGAGCCTCTCATTCAGAGTTAGGCTCTGGTTTTAGCAGACTCTCTAGAGAATTATGACACAAAATTTGGTGATCATAAGGTCAAAAATATATATTTCTATATTTTATTCTATCTAGACCTAGACTTAAATACTAGCGGACATTTCTGTGAAAGCAGAGAGTGGATACAAAGGGGAAGGTTAGGGTCCTGGTAACTCAGAAATGGAGCCAGGGAATGAAGACAGACCAGGATCCGAACAGATCTAACTAAGGGTAATCTCAGTCTACATTCGATTTTTCCTGAAAATGTGTCCAGAATGATGACCAGAAGGTGGATAAAATACAGTGTAGTCAGACAGAAGTCAGAATTGTGGTTTTCAAGGTGTTAGCGGTCCCTTCAGGCAGCCACCCACTGGGGCTTGGTGAGCACCTGCCCCAGTGGTCCCAAAGTCACTTTCACCTCTACAATTGCCTTTTTGCCAATTACAAAAGCCTGATGTCATTGTCAACAATCTCTTGATAAGCATGTTTAGGCATCCTGGAAATCTAGACACTGAATTACCCATAACTCAAACATCTTTAACCCTATCTCAAAAGAGTAATCAAGTTAAACAATTATTTCTCCTGATATTCTGGTAGGTGCCATGTTTTACAGGCTTTTTTTTTGTAATGAAGCCACTAAATCTGCTTTTCTATTTTACTAAACCAAAAGTGGATATAGTAATCAGTAATAATGGCTGGAAAATAAGGAAATCACAGAAAAGGAAACAAAGGACCAAAAGTTCAGCTCTACATTTCAGGGTTCCTGTGACAATTTAATAACTGACATATAGTGATTGACCACAGTTTGATGATCAATGGGAGAGGGACAATAGAGCCTATGTTTAGCCATCAAACTGTGAACATCTTCAGTGCAGACAGAATGCCCTTTATTTTTCTCTCTCAAGTATGCTCAGACTGAATTGGCTTTTGACCCAAAGAGAAATGTAGTTTTAAGCAGATGAATCTGACATATTCTGATAAGAAATACCCCCACAAAGAACAAGTTTAACTTTGTTATAGAGGAATAAAGTAACTTATACTGCTATATTTGCAAACTCTGACTATAAATTTCAAGCCTGGAGTTGGGTGAAAAGCAAGTGGCATACAGTAAGTGCTCAGTGATAACAATGATCTCACCTACCCTGCTGTAAACGAGAGGTGAAAGTGAAGAGGATTGTATTTTGTAGAAGGAGTAGAACCCACTTTCAAAGGAAGTTGCACATATCTACTCTTTCTACTTAGTTTAAGAAATTTTCCACTGGTAATAACAGCCTGATTTTTCTTTGGGGTCCACCCCTTGTTCTTATAAGATTTGAGTAGGCTGGCATCATCCCCAGCTCTGGGACTCAGCACATTACCAAGGAGTACACTGAGGAAAGAAGTGACATGGTGAAGATAATTTTGGGGAAATTGGCCTGGTAGCTACATCAGAATTGATGAAGGCAAGGGTTCATAACCTGGGATCCAGGTCCTTACTTGGGAAAAATTTACCACTTGTATTTGCACTAAACTCTATTGGAATTTTTTTCTATTTTCAATGTAGGTAACAGTCTATAGTAATATCATTAATACTTGCATAATTAATATAAAAGTTATAGATATTTTATATACCATCACTGTTGTAGGTATATCAAAATATCATTCATCAATGCTTTAAAATTATTATTTTTATAGACCATACTGCTGGATCTTGTATAATGCATTTATTAGAGAAGTACACATTATTATAACATAAAATTATAGGAGAAGTGTTTCTATTCCAATTATGGCATTTTAATATAACTGGTTTATTTTGTAATTGTAAGTATTTTTACATTTAAAATCATTATTTAAAGTAGCCTTGATTTGTGCTAAGAGAATCCACAGTTAGCGAGTACGTGCATACACACACACAGACACACACACACACACACACACGCACACACAATGATTTAAAACTTGCATCTGAGAAGGTAGAGCCAGCAGGCTAGTGGAGACTCTACTGACACAATCCAACAATGATGCCTGGAGCGTTTTGAGCCAGGAAGAAGTATGGAAGGCAAGACAGAGCTCCAAGAGGATTTGAAAATTTTCAGCTGGATCTAGAGGAGAAAATGAACTTCTGCAATTCAGGCAATAAATGAAGACATAAGAGAGCAATCAAAGTTTCCAAACCTGAATGAACGGAACAAAATGAGTACCAAAAAAATAACCAAATGACTAAAACAGAACATGTAGGACCCAGAGCTGCTTTGGAATCAACTGTGTAATCTATTTTAAAACAATAGCAGGACTTCTCAAAGAAGATATTCTATAGGAAAATTAAGACATTTCTTAAGGGCTCAACTCAGAGGTTGTGGCAGAGTGGGTCTATTTGGAAAGCTATGTAAAGAGGTAAAGCTGTGGCAGATGCAGTCTCCTGGCTGAGGAGCTGGAGGGGACCAGAGACCTGCAGCATCAGGCTCAACTCCCTCCCACCTCTACCTTCCCCTACTCTTTGGCTCCCTGAATCATCATCAGAGAACAGTATTGCTATAGTGACTACAGAAACTCCCAGCCTTTCACCTCATACAGCTCCAGCCACAGGAAGAGTTCATCTCTTCTAGGAGACCCTGGGAGGAGAGCTCCCCCTTTTCCCAGAATAACAGCTACACATTCTGCTCAGATTGGCTTGAGTCAAGTGACTCCTCTGAACTAGGATGAGCACACATTTGGTTTTATTTAAAAGAATTTCAGTCTATTTATTGAGTCACATAATTGTTAATAGTGTCCCTTCCACCTGTGAAACCATCACATTTTGGATGGCAAAGCATGTGACTTCCCTTCCCCAGTCAGCAGACCCTAAGGAATGCAGGAGATGATTCATCTGGACATGTGCTCCACCCAAGGTCTGGGGATGTAAGTAGGGAAGGATTTCCCAGAACACATGAGAACAGTTCCAGAAAATAATATGCAAGCTGGACAGCAAAATTCACTGGTGACCACCTTAGTAAGTATGATGAAGTGAGGGAGATACTTTGCTTAGAAAAGAAATACAAAGAGCAAAGCAAAATCTAGATAGCTAGAAGAAGGAGAATACAAGAGAGCAAGTTCATTCAAGAGATAGAAAAGGAGAATTTAAGAGCAATGACTAGCTCCTTCTAAAATTGAATGGTAGCCCTGATTTATTTATCCCTTGTCTCCTGACAACTTGTGACAGATTCTGGCACTTTTTAAAATGTTTTCATTAAAATCTAAGTATCAGAGAATATTTGCCATCTACACATAGAATGCTTTATGTCACCTAAGAAGACTGCCATTCCTAAAAAGTGGTGGCTTTTGCAAGAGATGTGTGCAGTATGGGAGAGGCAGCAGGCAGCTATTTCCCTTCACCTGCATCAAGCACCTTCTATGTGAATAGTCCCAGGAAGATACACAGAAGAGGAGTTAGATTCTCTGTTCTGAAATGCAGGCTGATGATCAAACATCTGGCTTTTCTATTCCTCTATATTTCCATGTAACCAAGTTCTCAAGACACCATTTCTAATTAAGAGAAAATTCGAACTCTTCTCAACTCAAATGAACTCAGAGTCTTCTGGATTTTAACTCGGCCAATTTGGATTTGAATTTTAGTTGATTAGCACTCTCTATTTGGGACCTGCTATATCATTTTCAGGCTCTGTTGCAAAATGACAATGCAAGGCCTCTGGTTCAGAAATATTAGTCAAACACAGGCCTTTCTGAGCATGAGGCTCCATTATAGGTAGAAAGTTGGGAAAGCAGCCCTGTCGCTCATCTCTCTCTTCCTCTCCCTTATACCACATAAGATGAAACTGTTCAATTGTTCTTGCTGTCCTTCTACCCAGGACTGTGAGACCAATTTAGTACACTTACTTGTGAAGTATTATCCAGGTAGTGAGCCTCTCCACTTCAGCATCTTCACCAAGCTCTTATGTTATATATCCCCACTGATTGTAGCATTGTCCATTTCTTGGTTTAAAATCCTTTCTCAGTTATTTGACTCACACAGTACATAGTGAGTCAGGAACATACTTTCTCTGACTTATTACAAAACCATATATTGCCTTTTTCACCCTGGTAGATGAATAATATCTTGGC